TTAAATTTAGATTTTGTGTGCCCAGTGTGGTTTTCTTTTGCTCGCCATTTACCTGCCACATGTATTCAATCAATGCAATATCGCGTGGAGGTCCTCCTGACATGGTTTATACTTCGAGTTCTCCACCTCTAAGCAAGTCACTTGTATTTTCATGTTCTTACAATAAACTTCAAACGCAGTCGCAGTGGGGACCGAAAAACACTTCTCACCCTTCGTTATATCTGCGGTTGTGTCCTTGTCTTCTCTCCCGCGCAACACCACCGCGTGACCGGGGCATCTCTTAGATTGAGACAAGGCAGGAAGCTTGAAAATTAGTGTCATACTTGCAACCTTTTAACGGTGCGCGAGTTGTAACGTTATCCTTCGGCCTACCGGAAAACGCGTTTTCCTCGGAGGAAGCGTAGATATGTGGATGAAGCCGATAAGAGCGGCGTGTGAGGTCAGAACCCGAAAGCTGAGAAAGGCGCACGGAAACAACTCAGCAGCCTAGCTCGAAAAAACAACAACAAAAAAAAATTGCCCGCAGCTTCCCTCGGGGGAACACTGAGGAGGATGCGGAGCATATAATTGGTTAACGGGGTTGTTAAAGTGCGACTTACTTGGGTCGATGGCTAAATTGGTTAACTTGGTTGTGAAATGGGTGTTAAATTGCGACTTACTGGTGTCGATGGCTAAATTGGTTAACGTGGTTGTAGGAGGGGCTGTTAAATGATTGAACCACGTACACACGTATGCGAAAGGCGGCACTGGTCGAAGGGACGTCGATCATTGTGTTTGTGGATTCTTTGGAATTCATTTCACCGCGACCTTGGACGTCGACGCGCCGTACAAACCAACCGACGAGCGGCAACCTGAGCGAGCGGCGCCGACCTTGAGTATATATACAGCTCGACGGCGCATGCACTGTCAGCTGTTGAATGTTCTCGAAGCGCGACGCCACATGCGCGTCCACTGGAGAATCAGTGGAATTGTAGATGTCGACGCCGGTGTGTAGAGGAGGAAGGGTGCACAGATGGTGGAGGAGGAAGCGCGCGCGGTGTGTAGAGGAGGAAGGGATGCACAGATGGTGGAAGGAGGTGGGCGACGGCGCGACGGCGCATGCGCGCGCAGTCAGCTGTCGAATGTTCGAGAAGCGGTGCGGACGGTGCGGACGGCGCGGACGGCGCACTACAAGGCGCGAGTATAAGATGCTTCCGCATCTAAAAAAAAAAAAACGGAAACGCGAGGCTGCTGTCACTGAGAGAGTGAAAGTTGTGGATATCCGAAAAACGCTTTCTGCTACGCTGAACGCCGTGCAGCGCTGCAGAAGCTCGGCGTGGTAATCGGAGACTTCTGTGGTACGCCCACTCGTGCTCTACACAGTGTCTTGGGCTCTCATCAAGTGTAGTCGTAACAGAACGTTGAAGTGCAAACAGGATGTTCTTATCGACTTCGAAGGATAGAGAAGAAGCTTGCTGTATGTTAACGATAAAATGAGGCTGCCGAAGCTGTGCATATCTGTTTAGTTGCTCGTTATGCTCGAATTATGCGACTTCAAAACAGAAAAAAAGCAAGTGAACCACAAAAAAGCCTTTCTTTGGCAAGCGGGTGGGAGTACCCCCAAAATGCACGAGAACATCATGTCAGTAGGCTAGCGAAGCTTTAAAGGACACTAAAGTTAAGTAACAATTTACGTCAGAGTGAAAGCTCAATGCATGAAAACATCTAAAACGACAATATTATCAACAACAGTGCCCTACTTACCGAGAAATTAAGGTAAATGCACAAGAACACAATCACCGCAGTAGGAAATTTTCCAAATGATCCCGATGTCATCAGGCGGACCACCTTCAATTAATCACTTGTAGTCAATCTAACTGCACTAAATAAAGAACCTTCCGTGAATCAAGAGACGCAATAAAATGCTGCTTGTTCTTTCTGTTTGATTCATGGGAAAAAAGAAGCGCCGGGCATTGCTATGGGGAATGGTGCAAGTGGTTCAAAAATTCGATTTTCGGGTGGTTACACGAGGCAGGTGGTGCCATCTAGCGGAGCACAGTTCAAACAAAAGCGTCTGCAATCTCGGGGCCAATGGAGGCAAATTGATCAACGGCCGTTGTTGCTACTGTGGCTCCCGCTGCTTTCGGTCTGCTGCTACTAGCGCAGTAAAGCCTGGCAACGTTGTGCATGGCAACAATGACGTGAGTCGGTCCGGTCGGTCCGCTTCTTGAGGCGGGTAATTGGAAGTGCGCTAACTCGATGCGGAGCACTAAAACGTGATATTATTTCAAAATAAACCCTTTCTTGGCACAAAAGTAACACTACGAGGTTTCTGGACCGCCATTTCAACAATCAACTTCGACTTAATAGTTGACTTTAGTGTCCCCTTTAAACACGTGGAGCGTGCTCGCATTGTTCAGTGAATTATGCAGATTTTGACAGCTCCGGCGGTCATTATGTGAGTCGTGTTCTCTACAGTTCCTAACCCTTTCGTTTGTTGCATTGGTGGCGGAAATCACGGCTCAACGGCAAGAACACATTGTATATACTGTACACACACGTTGTCACTCATTTACATGCACGAGTAGGCAATGCCACGGTGGTTTACGGCTTTGGCCACTCGTAAGGCATTTTGCATCTTTACTTCCCCTATTCGTCATGGGCTTTGTTGGCTACGTGTGCTCTGTTCACCATCAGTGTCGCCACTGCCATTATCACTACGCTTATTTCATTTATGTTTAACTGTTGAAAGAAATGTTGCGGAATCTACGCTAACTTCTACATGTTCACATCATCGACAGATATAGTAATAATGACTTATGTATGGTTTCAAAAGCGTATCTATCTCCCAATAGTGTGGTGACGTTGTACGTGTTAGTTAAAGCCATTAACTGTATAGATGAGCACTACTATAAAAAAAAAGACCCAAAAGTTGAACGCGATAGCGACATCCTGTTCGTAGTGCGTACTTCAAAAACTTTGTGCATGAAAACTTTCCGAATTTGCTATGCACCCACTACGTGGCTGTAAGTGTGCTTTTGTTGGGGGGGGGGGGGCTATCGGCTTTCAACCACGCAACCAAAATGATAATCACATATCCTGACGCCCGTTGGCAATGAACGCTTGACCACGCATTATTACTGCAATATTTCATGTTGAATTGAGAAGCATATATACAGGACGCCTATGTTTGTGAAGCATGAAAACTTCTTTCACGGCATTTCTAAGCACAGAGAGTTCTCTTAACTGTTTTCACAAGCAGAAGCGTGGCCGTGTGGTGGAACATCCGCTTGCCACGCAAACGACTCGGGTTTCATTCCCCCCTAGACCCCACACTCTGGTTTATTTGCATCGTTCTCAATACGGTGGCGGGTCGTAATGTCCATCTTCTCGAGCACCGTTCCGAGATCACAGATGATTCTGAAATAGGGAGAGATCTCCACTTAGACCCCACACTCTAGACGCCCTAGCGGTGCCATTACTATGGAAGCAGCGGGGCTGGTGTCCTCCACCATTCTTTCCTCCTGATCCTCACAGTCACTCCTCCTCACCCACACTTCTTTTCTTTCCCACCCCTTGCCGTACTGTATAGTATACGTAGATATACCGTACCCTTTCTTTCATGCTTCATACTTTTCTCTTCATTTTTCTCGTTATCTCGCCCGCCCGTAGTAACGCACTTACATGCTTCCCATGAGTGCTTCCTCTGCTACCGTGCTTGGATGGCCGGATGGGTACGACGCTTGTCTTCGGACTGTGGGCACTTCAGTTCAAATCTCAGGTTCGAATACAGGTGTTACTTTTTACTCAGGTGCGCTTCTGACTCAAGAACATCCAGAGAATATTGGTTCGATGTCAGTCGTATAGCTAAAAGTGCGGATCGGATGCATTCTTTTTTTGGCATCGTTCGACACACTCCTTTAATCCAGGATTATCTTTTTAACACGAAAGTGTTTTATGCTGAAGTCCGCCACGGCTACTTGATGTATTTCCGTCATGAATATGACGTTGTAAAATATTTTCCAACTGATTGTGAAGGAAAAATCTAGAATGACAAGTTTTGCAGCGGACAGTTGAACCAGCGACCTCCCGCTCCTCAGCGTGGGATGCTAATCACTAAATTACAGAGCGAAGCCTTCTCCAATATGTTAACGGTGAGCCATTTGTATACACCATGTACCGCTGGTTGTCCTCAGAGCTCGGCAACTTCAGCACGTTTTCGTCATCGGCAGTGAGATGGCACGACGGGCGCTCATTGAGCGCGCGTGCATGCTCTGAGGTCAAGTCGCGTCATCCCGCGCGTCGCTGTGCAAGCGCGCCTCCGCGCGGCGTGGTCAAAGTGCGTTAGATGTTCTTTAGCGTGGTGGCTCACTCGCGTGCGCGCTTATCTCGGGATTCGGATGCTCTGCACGTCTTGTGCTTCCACCGCAACCTAGCTTTGAAGTTACAGTAGTTAAAGAGAGAACGAACGTCACTTATTCGTTTCGCTGCCACGGCCGCATTCACAAAAGGAGCGCGCTGCTAACACTACGAAGAAGTAAGAATTGTGACCGTTGTTCGCGCTCGTCCTGTGTATAAATGTGCGTTCATTTTGTGCAGTTTTCTTTCTGTTCCAGCATTGGGCTTTAAGTGTCGAGTTGGGACTGTTGTTTGTCCACGCTTGTCTTGTGTATGCTCATTTCGTGCGTGCTTTCCGCTTGAGGTGCGCGCTGCAAGTATCAAACTGCTTGCCGTTCTTCGCGTGACACTGCAATTAGTTACTGTAGCATTCATTCCTTTGCCCGTCTGACAAAAAAAAAACGTATAATTAATGCTCAACTACCTCTGCGAAGACGCGTTTCACGTACTTTCGTGTTATACCGATTCCTAAAAAAAAGGATAAACCACGTTTTTTTTTCTCTAACTTTCAAAGTTTGTTTTCATGGTTGTAGCTATTTTGTAACTACGTATACTATCTTAGCCGTGAAAGGCTTTTCCAATAATTTAGTGAAGCACGTTCACGCCCTATGATTTTTTCGCAGGAGGAGTTGGCGTTGTGATGAAGCCCCGGAGCATATGTGCGTCAGCACTGGCGCTGCTGCTGCTCTATCTGTGCGTAGTGCGTCAAGTGCGCGGACAGACCGGCAGGCCGACGGGGAAGAACAGCTCCAGGAATACACCTACTACAACCACGAAGAGATGACCGACTTTCTCAAGAAGGTCTCCACGGACTACCCGCACTTCACACGCCTCTACAGCGCTGGAAAGTCCTTGCAAAGTGCGTAATAACCCTTCAGTAACAACCTGATTAATGATAATTGGTTTGTAATTAGATCTTGTGCGTTGTAGTTTTAATAGTGCATGTGAAGGTATCATTTGTTTACATTGCCGGGGCCACTCGCATGTGGTGAAAAGACTGCTATTCTTGGTTTAGAAATCCGCAGCGAAAATTCTTCATAAATTACGCGACGTTGAACGATGTGCACTACATGTCAACCAAATGTGAAATCCCTGGCTGCTAGATTTTTAACTGGTCTGTTGCCTTTGAACTGGCACCGCAAACATCAGGCATGTACAGGCTCGTGGGAGACCTGTACAGTCTTTTCCTGAAACTCCAGCCTCGTATCTGGTTCATGCGAGGCTACATCTTGAACCTCGTTGCAGTTTGCAAATATAAGGTATCTCGTGGAGTCTTTTTTTTTTTTCGATTTACCTGTCGTTACAGTATCAGGTTGCAGTTTTTCTGTAGTTACACCTTCCTTACTTAACTTTCTGGCTTATGATATTGTCCTTGCCTGGTGATCACCGAAAACTTCTGCAAATATTTTCCATCAAAATAGATGGGAGACATCGGGCCGCTTTCTCAGTGCTACTGTTTACTACGCTGCGTAGCTTATTAAGGTGGAAAGCCTTGTGTGTCTCATGCAAACACGACCTTGAACGAAGCAGCGAGGTGAGCATATTCTTGAGCAGCGCGTTCACTTTGCCGCATTGTGGGCTAAAACAGTGTTGGCATGACGAAAGAATTGAAAAAAAAATGCAAATGAAATCTGACCCAAGAATTGCCTGATCGCTACAGGTTCGCGCTCACTTCCTCTTCCACCGTCACATAGATCAATAAAAATAAAGTGACAAAAAAGTGAAACGACTTTCGCACGATTTGAAGCGCACGGTAAAACAGCCACACAGATGATTCGCCTTCCGGGTTGTCTTAGCCGAATACGTGAGAAACCCTGCGAGTGCTTTTTTTTTTATGTTGCTGTGAACTAACCAAAAACGTGTTATATATAAAAAAAGAATAAGTGATAGCTCGCTCGTTTAGCAGGTTAGAAACTTAAGGCCGTCTCGTTTCATGATTCCAGGTCGTGACCTGTGGGTTCTGTTGGTGACGAAGAATCCCCAGGAAGAACACTGCTCAAGCCCAACGTCAAGTACGTTGCCAACATTCACGGCAACGAGGTGACTCCACTTGCGTACTCGCTTTCGTTAACGCCTTAGGGCAGCGGCCACCACGCTTGGCTGTTTCGTCATGCGCATGCTCACAGTTGCCTGCGATCGTTACCCGTATGTACAGTATGGTCCACCGTTAAAGGGAACACTCGAATGCACATCATCAATATTCCTTGCCCTCTAAGAGCAAGTGGATTAAGAAAGATTGACGGCAGATCCACGAGGTGAATGATGATGAGGTTGGGCGAAGCTCCAGGAAGTAATACCGTGAAATGTTTTTTCCGTTAATTCGCCCGATAAAACCATTGAATTAGAGAACACCTGGCGTCTTTCGTTAAGCAGCTGGCGTCTTCTTTTTGTTTTGCTTTAGAAACATCGGGCGTCTTTTCGTTTTGCTTTTAGAAAACATCTGGCGTCTTTCGTTGGTTTATTTCATAAATCAACGGCGTTTTGAACAAAGATTTTTTTTTCGTTTAATCACGCACAGGAGAAATCTCACCAGGCACTACCTTGGAGGTAAACAATGGCTGCTACTGGGGATGAGAGAAAGCAGAAGTCGGCTTTTAACACTTATACTTCTACTAACGTTTTCTACTGGAACATGCCAATGGCTGCTAAAGGGAATGAGAAACAGGAGCCTTCGGCTTTTAGTTAAAGCGCACGCCGCGAACTTTTTATTGTTCAACAAAGCACAGGAGAAATCTCCCACCAGCACCACCTTGCAGGTCAAAATGTAACACTTGTTACACACTCCGACTACGACTATGAGGGACGAACGGGTGCAGCTTTAAGGAGCTTCGCCCCTAAAACCATCTTCATGCAAGTCATATAGTCTGTCAAGATGAATCGGAACTTTTAATAACCAGTAGCCTTATGCATACCTAAGACACTATGATTCTGTAAGATGGCGAAATCTAAACGTGCTGCTCCCGCAGGTGTTTGTTCCCTTTAACAGTGGACCCGTCTGTACACCTCTCAACGAGGGGGGTTGGTAGCCAACGCGCGAGACGGTTATAAATCAGGCATTTCTCTCGCTGTTGCAATCATGAAGGGAGAAAGAAAAGTATACGGAGCGCGCATGGCTTCCAGAAACCAATTCCCTCTGAAACCGCTTACTTCTCGTGTTCAAGTCACATTTCTCACTATGCACCTGTTTTATTGTATTGCTCGTATTACTGCGAATGCTGTTATCAGACCACAAGGACCGTTTTTGGCACCGCCAACGCCGGGGTTCGTAACCGCAATCACACAAAATAATAATAATAAAAAATACTGAAATGGAAAAATATCCAGGATGGAACGGGATTCGAACCTGGGCTGTTTATGTGGCAGCCCAGTGTTTTATCCACAGCCATGTCGTTTTTTTTTTTTTTTAATTGCAGAGCTACGTCGGGTCTCGAATCTCCTTCGCTAAAAACCAGGCGGCATGTTGGGAAGAGACCAAACGTTAACATATGTAATTTAGCGTGATAGAAGAGTAAAATAACGACCAAAAGTCACACTATGCGAATTGTGTAACTGCAGTCGTGAGTGATGCGAATCGCATAACCGAATACTTCGAACCTATTACAAAGGTATCAGTCATAATTGTTCATCTTAAATAGCGACATATTCAACAAAGCGCACATAATGCCTTGCAAATGCGTAGCGCTTCTCTGCAGAATGGCGAATAATGGCGTGTAGCGGGTGCTTCGCAGATTGACGAAAATTGTGATTTAGGGCTGCGTAAAGTTCACGCAGCTGTAGAGATGTTTTATGCCACATTGGGCCTTTGTGGCGCAGCTCAATCGAGCTCTTTGAATGCGTCGTGAATTGTGCTTCTGTCACCATGCACGATGACGTCGTGGAGATAGTGCCGACTTGTGCCATTTCGGCGTGACAGTTCACGGCAGATTGTTGTGGAAAAAAATGCATAGTGACCAAGGACACTATTTGTTGTTTTAAATTTAGACAATATTGCTATGATACATTGCTGATAAAATAACTCACTTAAATGCGTTGACTGACCAGAGAGGGAAGTGGCTGATTGTATATGCCACGAACAACGGTTGTGTGTCTCTTGTTGTTAATCCTAACGGTGATTCGGCATTCAGGACAGCACGTATTTTTAAACAGATTTTCAAACAGTATTCTCCGTTTAACCGTTACTTTCTCGCGATGTGAGACTGGACTCCCGAACTGCGCCATACTGTGAAATTCCACCGTTTGGGGACTCTGACTGGCGCAAAGGACACTGACTGGCTTGAAGTGCCGCCATTACGAAATTTGTCAAAATGGCAGAATCCGACAGTGTCCAGAGTAGCACTTTTGTTCCGCGTTGACTGGTGAGACCTTGGCGGCAGACTTTAAGGCCCACTGTCTCTATCGAAGCGAGAGCTCCTGAACGATGAACGTGACGAAAAATATTTAGAGGCCTTGCACTTTCACCCCAAATGAAAGCTGCACTGAACGCGAAGGGTAGTAAACTATATATAGTCTATTCAGCGTTCCTGCTTCTATATTTAGATGTTCTGTTTTTGTCATTCATTGTGTATATGACTTAATTATTCATTATCTGGAGCAGCATGCTGGTGAGCGGCCAGGCAAGCTTGTTTAGTGCTATGATTTGTTGGGCGTGTTGGTTCATTCTGTTGGGCGCTCTTACAGTCATCCTCCCTTCTTGCGTGTTTTCCATTTGTGCCCAAATATATTCCAGGTTGTTTAGTATATTCCGGGGAGTGAGTTGTGCTCCGGTTGTGCTCGTGCGCTCCACCGACAAATGTGTGCAGGTAGTCGGTCGGCAGCTGATGGTGTACCTGATCGAGCACCTTCTGTCGCGTTACAACGTGGACCCGTACGTGCGCTACCTGGTGGACACCACGCGCATCCACATCATGCCGAGCATGAACCCTGACGGATACGAGATCTCAAAGGAGGGATACTGTACTGGCACTATTGGACGGTACGCCGAAGCCCATCCGTTAATCAGGAGTCGCTTTCCATGGACACAAATATATTTTTAAAGGCCTCGTTTTGTCGTGTATCTTCTTCCGAACAGAACAACTCGACCTATATGAAATGTGCAGCAGTAACAGTATTATAGAGCGAACGAAAACAGCCCGGGTCATGCTGTTCTTCATTAAGCCTAGTGCCTTAAGTTTCTAGTTGCGCATCGTCCTGGGGGGAAACATGGCAGGCGAGTGAAATGGTACAAAAACCCGCGTGACGTGCGTCACTAATGTAATATTTTGACGTCACCATGTGCCGTCATTGTAACGTCAAAAGTCTGAAATTTGTGACATGTGACGCCATCAGTGGAGGCAACGTTACATTGCCATATAGGTGTGCCGATAATGGAGGTATATGGCAGCACCAAGTTAGGCTCAGAAAGCTAGTAGAGGCCCGGGCAATCGACAGAGTACGTCGAGATAACTTAACATGCCTCTCTCACACTACAGCTCGTAGTGTCTTACAAAAAAACCGGTCCCCGATTCTCGGTATCTATAGATTATGGGCGGGGTATTCCAAATGCGAAGCGTCTCAATTTCATTACGTCGTGAACAAAATAGTCCCATCGCATTCCTTCAGTTTAAGTTCGGTTTAATCTCGCTGCCCTTTTTCGATGGCGCAGGTACAATGCTCGTGGCGTGGACTTGAACCGTGACTTTCCGGACCAGTTCAATACTCAGGCGCACGAGCAGCAGCCGGAGACCGAGGCCGTGAGGCGCTGGATCCACCAGATCCCGTTTGTATTGTCCGGAAACATCCACGGCGGGGCCATCGTGGCCTCCTATCCGTTCGACAACTCGCCAAACGCCGGTACGCTGCTTCAGACTGTCAACCGCAACTCTAAGGCCAGCCGTCCGCGTTCGTTCTTGCTTCTGCCGAGAATAAATGTCTCATAGAATTGTGACGCCAAATTGCCGAATGAGTTGAGATGAACAAGTTGTGCTCCTATGAGCTTTAGCTGGCCGCAATATATTGCTCGCAAGGTCTCACAAACCGAGAAACTGAAATTTTGTTGGAAACGCCTGTAATGTATCCGGTGATGGTGCTGATAAAAATCTTTCAGCTGTGGAAGCATATGTTGTCAATGTAGGCCAAAGATCAGCAATACGTGCCTGAGCAGCTTAGCAGTTAAGATTTTAGCTCGAGTATGCAGGTTCGATTTCCTCGGACATGGCATGGGGGCGAAATGAAAAGAACACCCGGGCGGATGATGAGATTTTGATGCACCTTAAACAACGGGTGGTCAGAATTAAACCGGAGTCTCACCTCATAATGTTATCTTGGTTTTGACACGTCGAACCCCAGAAGTTGAAGATCACGATAGGTTGCTCTTCGTAGAATATATTTGTTTCCTCAGTGTCAAATGCAACTTTCCTAATAGAAGTATATTTGCATGCGGGCTCATGTTCACGGGATGACATACGCATGCATGCATGCTTGTTCTAACTATGCGCCGTTGCCTGCAGTGTTTAGTGCTGGTAATTGCGCTTGCCTCACTGGCACCACCACCTTCTACAAGATGATTCTTCGAGCGTTTCTCAGCATCACTGTCTATGGCATGGCTTGACAATAACTCTCAGTCCGAGAAAGTGCGATCTAAATGAACCGAAGCCACCCTGCCCCTTCCTCAACAAGTGGCTCCACCCACGATGGGACTGGAAAATGATGTTCTGCCGTCACGCCCTCTGGATGGCCTGGGTGAAGATGACTGTGAAGATTGCTGTTCTTGCGGTATTCTTCTCAGAGGTCCTTCGTCGTGGGTGGAGGGGCGCTTTGGAATGGACCACAGTTGAAGTGCAGCTTTAAGTCCATGGTCCGGATATTCGTGCTCTGAAAGAAGTCGCACATTACGTTGGCTGTTTGCCGCTTCTGTTACATGCATCAGTTGCCCTATTTCTAACAAGATTATTTCAAGACGAACATGCCGCTTCTGGTGTAAAGCTAAATGCATGAAAATGTACAGAAAAAATAGACAAAAGCGCGCCATACTTTTTGGCCCTCCCTGTTTGTCGACACGCGACGCAGTGTCGCGCTCCTATGTCATTTTTTGTGTGTTTTTACGCTTTGCGGCAGTAGTAAAATGCTTAGCAAACTCGGGCACCAACTTAGATAAAAATAAGTTCTTCTTGAGTAGCATTGCATGGTGATTTGCAGTGTTTCACACGCATACCAAGCCGTCAATGTCACCGGACGACGACGTGTTCCAGCACATCGCCAGCGTGTACTCATTCAACCACGCCAACATGTACCTGGGCACTCCCTGTTCCTCGGATCGCCCAGCTTTCCCCAACGGAACCACCAACGGTGCAGCCTGGTATCCCCTCGCAGGTAAGCCCTGCGAGAGCCACCGTCGTGGCTACTGAATAACTTGAATTAACTTAAGGGGCCAGGGTACATATCCACGCCCAGTGCTAATGTTCTACTTTAGTATCGCGTTTAAAATGACTCACAGAACTAGAAAGTATAGCGGATGTTATTAGTACTAAATGTGACGTAAACGTGGAGAAGAAAAATAGAGGGAAGGATAACATTTACTGGTAATGTCATCCCTTATAACTTTCCTTGGAAATATTTTCTGTTAGTTTTTATTAATACTGTGTCTCACAAAAAAACGAGCGCTTAAAACTTTTACTTTTTTCGGAAAGGCAGACAGACAGACAGACAGAGGGATAGACGCGTACCGACAGACAGACAGACAGACAGACAGACAGACAGACAGACAGACAGACGGACGTACGGACGGACGGACGTACGGACGGACGGACGGACGGACGGACAGACAGACGGACAAACGGACGGACGTGGAATGGACGGACGGATGTGGAATGGACAGATGTGGAATGGACAGATGTGGAATGGACAGATGTGGAACGGACAGATGTGGCACGGACAGATGTGGAACGGACGGACGGACAGACAGATGTGGAACGGACAGATGTGGAACGGACAGATGTGGAACGGACAGACAGACGGACGCACGGACGATTAGACGGATAGATGAACAGACGGCAGAGAGACAGACAGACAGACGGACGGAGGGACAGACGGGCGGTTAGGCGGATAGATGAACACAGACGGACGGACGGACGGACAGACAGACAGACGGACGGACGGACGGACGGACAAACGGACAGACAAACGGACGGACGGATGGACAGACGGACAGACGGACAGACAGACAAACGGACAGACGGATGGACAGATGTGGAACGGACAGACGGATGGAAAGATGTGGAACGGACAGACAGACGGACGCACGGACGATTAGATGGATAGATGAACACAGACAGACAGACAGACAGACAGACAGACAGACAGACAGACAGACAGACAGACAGACAGACAGACAGAGGGACAGACGGACGGTTAGGCGGATAGATGAACACAGACAGACGGATACACAGACAGACAAACGGACAGACAAACGGACAGACAAACGGACAGACAAACGGACGGACGGATGGACAGACGGACAGACAGACAAACGGTCAGACGGATGGACAGACGGATGGACAGATGTGGAACGGACAGACGATTAGACGGATAGATGAACAGACGGACAGAGAGACAGACAGACAGATGGACGGAGGGACAGGCGGACGGTTAGGTGGATAGAAGAACACAGATGGACGGACGGACGGACGGACAAACGGACAGACAAACGGACAGACGGATGGACAGATGTGGAACGGACAGACAGACGAACGCACGAACGATTAGACGGATAGATGAACAGACGGACAGAGTGACAGACAGACAGACGGACGGTTAGGTGGATAGATGAACACAGACAGACAGACAAACAGTCAGACAAACAGACAGACAGACAGACAGACAGACAGACAGACAGACAGACAGACAGACAGACCGTGCATCACTTTTTTTTACATCCTTGCTCAGGTGGCATGCAAGACTACAACTACATCTGGGGGGACTGCATGGAAGTGACGTTCTCGATCTCCTGCTGCAAGTTCCCGCACCGTCGCGAGCTGCCCCGCTTCTGGGACGAGAACAAGCAGTCGCTGCTTGCCTTCTTGGGAGAGGTGCACAAAGGTGAGCCTGACTCTATTCACAACATAAACATTGCGTGATTAGATTACTTGCAGTGGCATAAATGCAGAAAAATTGCAAGTGGGGACACACATCTTACAACGGCGGCAACATTGTTTTCATAAGTGTTACATCGTGCATAATGAATAGCACAGCATAAACGGAGACATCTTGTTTATTTTATCTTCTTCCTTCTCCCCCCGTGGCGGCCACCGAGCGCGTGCCACCGCACAGCGCTGTAGTCGGTAGCGACGCCTTATACCACATATCCCCTCTTGAAAAAAAAAAAAATAAAATAAAATAAAAATAAATGGTAGAAACACACAAAACTGTTTTTGTCTACTTCCTAACGAAGTCCTTCAATTTCTTTGGGGTCTTCTTTTTACGCTTGCTTTTCCTTGCAGGCGCATTAAATCCTGGACTGGTCAAAGCTTGCGTGCCGTCTGGTGGAGATGATACGGGGTCTGCCCTTTCATGACCATCCGCTCTTGATGTGTCCCATTGGGGCGCACTAGATGACCGATCAGATGCAGGGGACCAGTTCATAAGGGCAGCGGTTTCAGGCTGTAATGCATGAGAAGACCGATTAAATGCAGGTGTCCAGTTCATAACAGCAGGGGTGCCCGATTTCATTTTGTTGACCGCTCCGGAGTGAACTGCGATTAACTTAGATGCGTTCCACACACGCCCATCGTCCAAAAGGTACGAGGCCGGTCCCGTTTTCCAATGATCTTCTTGGGCGCGGAAAATTGTGAAGACAGCTTACCGTGAGCTGCAGTTGTCTTAACGCGCACGTAATCACCAACGACGAAACTGGGTTCCTTGGCTCCACGTTTTTCATCGGTGTAGCTCTTCGAGATCATTTGCTTCTTTTTGACATGCTCTCGTAGCTGTTCAATCGCCCTTGACGGGTCCGTGCTGAAGCATCTGTCGGGCAATCCCAATATGTCAAGTCTGGTGCGAGGTTGGCGTCGATGAAGAAGAACAGCGGGTGTCGCACCAGTAGTCGCGTGAGGCGTACAGCGATATACTTGCAGGTAATCAAGCATGGCTGTTCGTACGTCACGACGTTCAAGCAGGGCTAGTTGAATGTACGACTTCAGCACCCTATTGAATCTCTCCACCAAGCCGTTAGCTTGTGGGTAATACACGGAAGAGTTGTAGTGCGTTATTCCACGCTCCGTGAGAAACTCGTCAAAGCTTGCTGAAGAGAACTGTGGTCCATGATCGGATACAATACTACGTGGGTAGCCTTCTCGCGCAAAAAGTTCAAGTAAAAACTTCTTCACTGTAGACGTGGTCGCATCTCGCACGAACGCCACTTCAGGCCACTTGCTATAATAGTCAATAACAGTAATCGCAAAACGGCAGTCGGCCGAAGCTTGCGTGAAAGGTCCCACAATGTCGATGGCAATTTTTTTCCCACGCCGCGTCAGGAAGAGGAACAGGTTGCAGTGGCGCTGGAAAGGTACGTGCGGACTTGTCACAAGACTGGCAAATCACGCATGTGCGCACCAGTTCTTCAATGTGACTATCCATGCATGGCCACCAATAGGACTCTCTCAGGCGAGCTTTGGTACGACTAATGCCTGGATGTGACTCGTGGGCCAGATCCATAAGGCGGCGTGTCAACGTTGCAGGCACGACAATCCTGTCACCCCGGCATAGGATATCACTTACAACAGAGAGTTCAGCCTTCACGTAAAAGTAAGGTAGCAATTCTTTTGACAGTGATTTCTTGTCAGGCCAAGAAGTAGTCGTGAAGTGCTTAACTTCACAGATAATCTGATCATTGGCACTTGCTTCTTGAAGTTCTGGCATGGTAACTACGGGAGACAACAACAGATAAATTCCTCTTCTGGTGCATCGCGGATTAAACTCTGGAAGGGTAGCCTGGAGAGAGCGTCCAGCCACGACGTTTTCGCTACCTTTCCTGTATTCGACGGTATAGTTGTAGCAGAGCAACCGTGAGGACCAGCGCGCAATCCTTAATGGTCGGTGACCGGTGCCTTTCGTCGAAAGAAGCGTAACCAGCGCTGCGTGATCCGTTCGTAAGATGAAAGGTCGTCCCCATAGATAAACGTGCCAGTGTTCGCAAGCCCAAACACAGGCAAGGGCCTCACGTTCGCCGACTGAGTATTTTCCGCTCATGCGGTTGAAGTGTGCGGGAGGCGAATGCGACAGTTTGCAGTGAGGTCCCGTTGTCTTGCTGAAGTACTGCACCTAATCCATATCCTGAAGCATCAGTTGTAACGAACACAGGCAAGTGAGGATCGAAAAGATGAAGCACTTCGCAAGATGTGAGCAGAGATTTCAGGCGCTCCAAACTGCTCTGTGCTGCCGCACTCCAAACGAAAGAGGCTTGTCCTCGTAGCAAGGCGCGCATTGGCTCGACAACATCCGAAAAATGAGGAATGAACTTGGAATAGAAGCCTGCAAGCCCCAGTAGCGAGCGGAGTTCGTTAATATTTGTAGGTGATGGTGCCTTTGTTATCGCCTCAATGGATGACATCAACGGAAATAATCCTTTGGCGCTCACAACGTGACCTAGAAAAGTCAACTCTGCCACGTCAAAGACACACTTGTTGTTGAGCCGGAGGCCAGCATCAGAAAGACGTTGCAATACAGCGCGCAAGTTTCCCAAATGGTCCTCTCGGGATCGCCCATACACGATGATGTCATCAATGTAAAATAGGACACATTTGCACCCTTTCAAGATCATGTGCATCATTTTCTGGAACGCTGATGGCGCCGACGCCAGTCCGAAGCAAACCCTCTTGAAGCGAAATAGTCCATCGTGAGTGATGAACGTGGTAAGGTCACGGCTCTCTAAACTGAGCGGTAACTGGTGATATGCAGAAGCTAAGTCTAGCTTCGAGAAACGCTGTGCCCCAGCCAGGCTGTTCAGGAGCTCCTCAGTTTGTGGCAAAGGAAAACTGTCTACTACCACAGCTTTGTTTGGCTCCCGTAAGTCAACACACATGCGAATCGAGCCGTCTTTTTTTCTGGCTACGACAATAGGGGAGACCCACTCAGAAGAGTCGACACGCTCAATGATGCCCTGAGCTTCTAATTTCTGAACTTCTGCCGAGACTTGCTCGCGAATGACAAGTGGCAGTCGTCTCAGTTTGCTGGCCACCGGTTGTACAGACGCGCGAACTCTGACCTTGTGAGTGAAACCTCTCACAGTTCCCAGCTCTTTTGCAAATAGGTGCTCAAACTCAGAACGTAATTCTGGAGGTAGCACCGGAGTTTCTTGCGTCATTAGAAGACACCTGAGCGGTGACCCTTGGATCTTCATATCCAGAGCAGCGATGCCGTCTAATCCAGAATGGTCGTTCCCCCAGGCACCACGTATAGTAGAACAGAAGTGCATCGGCCGTGAAATGAGGCAGTAGCAATGAAGCATCCTTGTATAGGAATTGCTGCCTTTGAATAATCGAGAAGCTGGACGGATGTAGACTTCAGTGGATACGCTTTAGAAAAATAGCGTTGGTAAAGTTCTTCGGCCAGGATCGAAACCGATGATCCTGTATCGATCAAAAATGGTACAGAAATTCCTTCTATTTCCAACGCTGCGTAAATTCCCTTCTTACGGCTCCAGATCTGACAAACACTTAAATGGTCGTCTGGATCAGCTGTATCGTTACCTTCCGCTACATGCTGAACATTCTTCTCAAACTTCCGCAATGACTTGCACACCTTTTCAAGATGGCCAATTTTCTCACATTGTCGACACCTATGTGCTTTGGCCTTGCACAGAGAGCTATTTGCAAGGTGTGCCGTAGAACCACAACGATAACATACTTGCTCTTTCGGAGATATGCGACTTTGACCGTGCATGTTATAGCAAGTACATGTGCTACAATGCCGTTCTCTGTGATTTGAAGTATCTTTTACACGATGAACTTGCAAGTCATTTTGTGCAAGTTCTCTTGCTTCAATAGTCGCTTGATCATGCTGTTTGGCAATGGTAAGAGCCTTAGAAAGCGTGAGAGACTCTTCCAGCAGAAGGCGTTCACGTAAGTATCCACTTGTGGTTTTCTCTATGAGCTGGTCGCGTATCATGTCGTCCGTTAGATCACCGAAATTGCATGCTCCTACAAGACTTCTCAGCGCGGTGACGTAATCAGCCGCAGTCTCACCTGGGGCCTGCGTACGTTGACGGAAACGGTGACGCGCTGCAGTGACGTTCAACGTGGTTTTGAAGTGACCTTCCAGCGTCGCGATGGCGCGGTCGAACACATCAGGACTAGGGGACGTTAGTGTACCTGCCGCAGCGCTCGCAGGCACGAGGCACGGGTCGTCAGTAGTCGTCAGAGTCTGGAAGATACGTTGTCCTTCCAAGCCCAAGCAGTTGAGCAGGATCGCCTTCCGACGAATGGCAGGTAGGTCGAAGGCGCCCGAAGCAACCATGTAATTCTTGAAAGCCTGGATCCATTGCTCCCATGGAATGTCCGGGTGTCCAGGTGACGACAGGAACGGAGGTGGCGGCTGTAGCCCCGAAATACTCATCGTAGAAGATGGTAGGCAATAAACGAGGGCACAGATGAGGTTCAGGCCGGTAGCACATGGGCTGGTGAATCCCATCTTCGTCGCCAAAATATGTTACATCGTGCATAATGAATAGCACAGCATAAACGGAGACATCTTGTTTATTTTATCTTCTTCCTTCTCCCCCCGTGGCGGCCACCGAGCGCGTGCCACCGCACAGCGCTGTAGTCGGTAGCGACGCCTTATACCACAATAAGTATGCTTCATTTCAATTATACAACAATATTAAAATATTACTTTTAAATTAAATTAAAAAAAAAACGCCAGGCCTGTGCAGAAGGCACAGCACAGTAACAGTGAAAGCTAGAAGAGCTGCCTTTCAAACTCTTTATAAACACTCTTTGGGATGCTACAATCAGACTGGTGGGTACCCACTACGCCATAAATGATCAGAAATTTTGTGTAGTAGCCCAGCATTCACTTTGCTATCCTTCGTCATTTTCGGAGAAAAGTGGTATCGGCTACATGCTTGTTAGGAATTTGTGAATTTTTTTTCGCAGTGGCTGACGACGATGAAGAAATATGCCTGAAGTGGGTATGCGTCACAGTTGATAGGCGATCAAGAACAAGTTTTCTAATGGGTTGGAGAATTGAAAAAGACCCACTCGTCACGCAATCATGGCATAGTGTGATGCCTGGCTGTTTATTTTATGTTCTAAAACGCTTTATTGCTCATGTTAACGTGATTCCTGTCCCGACATCAAGCCTGTCTAAGGCCAGTTCAGAAACGAGTGACACTGGCATGACCCAGTGGTAGAATACTGGGCTGGTGCGCAGTGGACCCGGGCTCGAATCCCATTGGGTCATTGGTGTTTTTTATCTACCGAGTTTTCTTTTGGGTCGATACTGGGGTTGTGGTGGTGGCAGACAACTACGGCGCCACGCTTGACCCCTGTTCTGAGATTTCGCTGTAGAAACGTGAAATGAGCATGAACATTCAACAGCACATGCGCACGCTTCATAACAAATTTAATTTCCGAGCATAACCCGTAGGTAGGCTGCCCCGCCACGGTGGTCTAGTGGCTATGGTACTCGGCTTCTGACCCGCAGGTCGCGGGATCAAATCCCGGCTGTGGCGGCTGCATTTCCGATGGAGGCGGAAATGTTGTAGGCCCGTGTACTCAGATTTGGGTGCACGTTAAAGAACCCCAGGTGGTCAAAATTTCCGGAGCCCTCCACTACGGCGTCTCTCACAATCAAATAGTGGTTTTGGGACGTTAAACCACACAAATCAATCAATCAATCACTCAATCAATCAATCAATCAATCAATCAACCCGTAGGTAGGCTTTAGCATGTTGCCTGCTCTGCCGACCGGGATGAACAAAAAAATAGTACAGTTGGCACTTTGTTGTCATAATGAGTAAATGTACATTTTGTCTTTGACTTCAGCCCCATTCTCCATCGCGTATACCAGATAGAAACATCCTCCCACGCCTTGTTGCCAGAATGTTTCTTGTAAAGCTTTTTTTTATGTACAGCGGCGATTTTCTTGAAATAAACCAATCATGGCCAAGCAATCGCGTTTATAGGTCATTTTGAATTGCTTCCAACAAAGTGTCAACATGAATAACTGTAGATGATAAGAAATTCGGTCCTTGCTTTGAATTTCAATCTGATAATAATAAAAGCTTGCGGCACGTCCGAAACAACCCTAGAACTTCCGATATAATTTCAACAAGATGGAAAATTAGGAGTTGATAACTTTTTATTTCAACGCAAAGTGTGAATGGACAAAGACGGTGCAAGACGTCATGAGGAGCGTTTCAGAAGGCTCGTGATCTACACTGAATAGCTTCAGGCTGCAGACTTGGTTGCACAGAAAGTGCGCTATTCTTAATTGTCAAGAAATTAAAATAGGACATTTACGAGGTAAGTGTCAACACAAGGGAGATCAGGACACACGCAACTGATAATTATTTACGCAACTGATGAATATTTTAGACATATGATGACATTATAGTACATAGCTGGTTGGAAATACCTGTCCGTGGAAGTCTGTATAGGAGCGGAAACGACGCTATAAAAGAATGGGGAGCTTTTCTAAAAATACTATGAAAAAAAAAAACAGAGCGACTAAGCCTCGAACAAAGGCGATTGCTACCGATTGTGAGCTGAATTGCTGCCCCCTCTTCTTATTTTCCTCTTTAAAAAAAACAATTCCGAACAATATATCTTTATGGGATAAAACGTTAGAACGGCTTCTTTTGCCCTGCCCTTCCTAGCATCAGTAGGGCTACCTGTTCGAGAATTCGTGTCTTGTCTGATGTGCTTGCCATAAAAGTAAACAAAACCGGGCCATGTCGTTATCGTTGTGATAATGCTGAAATATTGCACGTACTTCGGCCAGGTATTTCGGCAGGGGCTTGGCTAACGACTGCAGCTTGGCCCCCGTGTTTTTCCTATGCACGCACCGTAACGCGTGGTGTCGAATAAAACGTGCATAAATTGTAACGACGCCAGATAAACGAGGAGGTGCAGTGCCACGATGCAATACACTTATTGTTATCATTGTAGCGCACGGACACATTTTGTCGATCCTCAAAAAGAACACTCGCACAGCCTCAACGTCGCCGCCGCTGGTGCATACGCATGGCAGTACTTGTTTTTATGGAATTTACTTTTATGCAGGCGTCCGAGGCATCGTTGTGGACGAACGCGGTAACCCAGTGGCCGAGGCTTCCCTGCGTGTATCTAATCGCACCATCGGCTTCAAGAGCACGTCCAGGGGAGAGTACTGGAGGATCCTCAGGCCTGGTCGTTACACGCTGGAGGTTAGTCCTTTACCTTTGATATTTTGATTGATTGATATGTGTGGTTTAACGTCCCAAAACCACCATATGATTATGAGAGATGCCGTAGTGGAGGGCTCCGGAAATTTTGACCACCTGGGGTTCTTTAACGTGCACCCAAATCTGAGCACACGGGCCTGCAACATTCCCGCCTCCATCGCAAATGCAGCCGCCGCAGCCGGGATTCGATCCCGCGACCTGCGGGTCAGCAGCCGAGTACCTTAGCCACTATACCACCGCGGCGGGCTGGTTAGTCGTTTACAATTCGTGCCAATGAAAGGCCCCGAGACTGGATGACCATAGGGATGGAGTATTCTCAAATTTTAAAAGAGTCGCCTCTTATTCTTGCATCTTTTATCTCAAGTTGTATAGAGAAACAACAGACACATGAGAAGGCCATGATTGACAATCCGTGGTGGTCGAGTGATTACGGTGTTCAACAGCTGACCCGTGCGTCACGGCATCGCATTCCGGCCGCGATGGCCGAATTTTTAAAGGCGAAAATGCTTGAGGCCAGTGTGCTTAGATTAAGGAGCACGTTAAAGAACCCTAGGTGGTCCAAATTTCCGGAGCCTTCCACTGCGGCGTTTCTCGTAATGATATGGTGGTTTTGGGACGTTAAACCGCAACTAACTAGCTAGTTAGCTAACTAAATAGCTAGCTGGCTAGGGAACTAACTAAATTGCCGTGTCTAACAAAATGATTGGCAGACAACACTGAACTTTTTTTTTTCATCATTTGGAAAAATTTGTCCTCTTTCTTTTGCTTGTTCTTCCGTTTGTTGAAAGGAGAGATATAAAGCAAGAAGAGAAAAGGTAGGGGGGTTAACCAGACGAGCGTCCGGTTTGCTTCCCTGCACTGGAGATAAAGGAGGGAGTATTAGAAAGAGAGAGAAAATAAGGAGAGCACTGACCGTATAAAGAAGTACACTCGTTCAGTCACTGAGGCCGCTGCTGCTCCGACCTACATTGCTTCAGCGTTCAGACATACGGCTGGGAAATCGCGGCCTTTGAGAGAGCCCTAGGCGATCCGTGGTGCTTACTGAATTGCTGAAAACACTGGATTGAGAACCTCCAGCAATTTCAGGGCAGTTCGGGTGGTCGGAGCAAGCCTATTCGTCCGCTTTCGTTGAGGGAAAACCACCCAGACATATACAGCTTGTCGACTTGTACGACTTTTTTTTTTTGCTTCTATCTAGCTCCTAAACCCTTTCTTTTTTAAACCCAATAAAGGTATTTCTCTCTCTCTCTCTCTTTTGCTTTATAATTTTTGTTATGCCGCAAAAAGCAACACGTGTAAGGCGCAGTTTCGAAATTCATTCGCTGCTCAGGTTTCTGCCCCGGGTTTCCACACGGTCAAGCAAGACTTCATCGTGCTAGAACACCAGGTCTCCATCCTGAACGTGACGCTCAAGTCCTTGCTCGAGGAACCTGAGGAGCCCGAGCAGCTACAGCCCGAGCAGGACACTGCGCAAAGCACAGTGCCACGAACTCCGGTAACGCCTGCTCCGGAAGCCGACGGAACCTCTTCACACTCCTCCTTTTCCACTAACACCACTACCACCAGCTCGCGCCCTCCTTCCACTGCCGACTTCGTTAATGACGTCACCGGAATGTTACAGCCCGACGCGGCAGTTGTCGCGAGGCGCCGTGGCGCCGCCGGTGGCGATGTCATGGACGCCGCTGACGTCAGGGAGGCTGGGGGATGCCGTAACCACGTAACTCGTGACGATGGTCACCTGGTGGAGTATCAGGCGCATGCTTTTGTCATGAAAGTCAGGTCGGGCGCCAACGATATGCCATCGTATTCCACCGGGAGGCGATTGTTCGCAATTTCAGCGTTGGTTTTCTTCTGGTCTCGTCTCGTCAGTGGCCCTTAAGCGGCGATACGATACTGCCCAAGATTCGCTACCTTTAATGTATAGTAGCTGGGGCTAAGCCGAAGATAGACCGTTGCAATGGTTCGGGGTGAGGTGACACCACAGACTGGGCATCCATCGCGGTGGTCTAGTGGCTATAGTGCTGAAATGATAATCGGGAGGTCGCGGGGTAGAATCCCGACCTCGGCGGCCACATTTCTTCGAACAAGTGCTATAGGCCCGTTTGCTAACAATTAAGTGCACGTTAACGAACTTAGGTGGTCGAAATTACCGGAGCCCTCCACTACGGCGTCTCTCACAGTCGTATCGTGGTTTTGAGGTGTAAAACCACAATGAGTAATATTACCGACTGGGTGGACGCCAAATCGGTCACTGGAAATGTTAAGTATTATAGATTACCTAACATAATAGTGAGCTTCGTATGTACGGTACTGTTTGCGAAGAGGCGTTGCTCCACAGCTAAGTGACGAAAAAAAGCTTGAGTCACACTTCTCTAGCAAGGTGCCTCACAAAACAGTACAATGCGCAATGTAGCTGATGCAGTGTTTATATTCTATGCCCTTGCGCTTATTTGAGCTCTATGGTGAATGCATGCCTGCATCTTCGAAATGCGCTCGATTTGTGCCCGCTGTCAGTGGGGAATTATGTGTGTCTGTATTCAAAGTTAATGCTTGCCACTGCAAGGATGCTGTCCAAGGGACTAAAGTAAAAAGGACGCTAAATTTGAGCATTTCCTGAGTACTTGCTAATTTACCTGGTACATGCTATACTACCATATATCAGGGTAATAATTGATGCAAGGCACTGCTCACAAATGCCGTTGGCATTTCCTTCGTACATCTACTTACATTGCGTACCTGAACACGTGCTAAAGACTACCAGTTTGCGTATGTGAAAACATGACGGCTATGCAAAAAGAAACTAATATAGATAGTGTGCACGTGCGTCATGCAGCGCCCCTTCGTCACTTTTGAATTGCGCCGCCGACATGCCCGGGTACCTACCGACTCCGTCGCCTACCGCTTGCGCCCGTTTAGTTTTGCCTCACGATGAAAGTTTGAGGAATTATCAGCTGCTAGTGAGGCAAGTTGATTTAGTAGTCCACGAAGAGGGAGCGGCGCTTCGGGGTGTTTCTTCGCCGAAAGTTATTGCCCAAAATTGAGAACGCACATTGATAATTTCCGAAAAGTACCGGCGTGTTTGGCTGGCGTGGATTAACTAAAACTACTTGAAAAAACTCGGTGATATTTGCGTCTTCAGGTGTAACTTCATTCCGGGTAAGTGCCATAGCCAAGCATGCCTGCAAACAGAGATATCTTACCGAGATATTGTACATACAAACTTGTCCGCGACCACTGCAGGCACAATTAGCGTGTCAAGGAGGCGGTTAAAGTCGTGATGGCGATTGCGGAAATTCGGGTATTGCATTGAAACAAACAGTTGAAAATGGATGCGAAACAATATTACTTCACTTTGAAGTATAGCTGATCGGTTCAAGTTGAGGGGTGAAGATTTTTAAAAATTGGTCAATTATTTCTCTAACATGGTCTCCATTATTATCAGGGACTCTACTACTAGCGTACAAAAAAAGTAAAATACAAGGTGAAAAAGATATCAAAACATACGCAAAAAAGTGATGACCGGCATTACCATGGCACGCACCATGCACGCGAAGTCTGCCTCGCATAATGTTTTCCACGGCCGTTTCCACAAATTTCAATGAAAGAAAGTTAACATGAGCACTGATTAAAACACTTGAGGGGGGGGGGGGGCTGCTACTTTGGTGGCGTGGGCCATAGCAATATATTAATATTAATATTATATCTCTTGTAAACTTGCCTAGCTCTGCACGACTCGTTTTCGATTTTCAATGGGAGCTGCTGCGCTTCGCTCATCCACTCTTAAAATTGCGGCTCGAGAGACTTTGGGCTTTTACTTGTTCTTGGGCCACGCAATTTGTAATGAAAGCGAGATAATGGGCCCTCGTAGGCCGTGGCGGGCAGCCGGTGTACGCGGTGGCTGGTATACGTGTCGCGCATCTTGATATTCTGGTCTTGTGTCGAGTGAACAAGCGAGGCCTTTCTGATCTGATGAGCTCGTTAAAGTACGACAACAAAAAAACCACAATGCTTCCCTTTCAACATCGTATGCAGCAACAGATGACGAGCCCCCAACAAACCGCGCTGCAGCACGCGAACTGCCGTAGGTACCCGGGGGGGTACCCGGGAATGGCGGAAGAGGGCGACAACGGCGGAAGTGACATCACATGAACACTATCTATTGTAGGCCATGTCGATAGGTTGAATGGAAATATAATGTATCACGTATAACAATGATACTGAATTACTTTTACTCAAAGAAATGATTTTCACTCATTTTCCTACACAGTTACATTCGTGTGTAACTGTCTCTGGGAGATGAGCCTCGATGTTAAGTAGTCGGAAAACATCTTCTGCGAATTATGAGAAACTAAGGAATCTCGAATAGCTCAGAAACAATGCAACTCTAAATATACTGATCATTTTATACATGAGCACATTGACGGCATTACTCTATATGTTCTCGATTTTTCTCATTGTACCTTCACAAAGTACGGCTAATTACTATGCTTGCAAGCTGAGTGTTGCAGTCACCTAAGTAAGTTATGGCTTATTTGATCAAATTAAGATGATGTCAGCACGCAAAATGTTGGTCTTGTCACCCCAAACGTCATCTGAAAACTACCTTGGTGCAGCCTAACCAATTACCATCAGTTTAAAAAAGCCACGACGGTGTCGCTGGCTGTGTAGTGTGAGAATGAGATTGGAAATTTAATACAAAATGACACATAAAAAACAAGTGCTCCTATTAGCAAACACGCTTCTCTGCTATTTTTCAAAGTATAAAAACGAAGCTTGACGAAACTTGACAATTCTATGACGAGGCGAATTCGCAACATGCAGCTTACATGCATTTCATCATGCACTGGGTTTATCATTCACTCCTGATTATTCATTCTGTGTGCTGTTTTTTCTCTGTCTCTGTGAACTGTCTGTGGTCCCTTTCCTTAAACTTCCCTTTGTTTTGTTTATTTATTTTTATTTCCGACTGAACTACAGGTGGCACACCAAAAGAATAAGTTAGATACCACATGACAAATTGTACCACAGCCACTTTTGCCAGCTCGCTTCTATATACTTTAACGCCTTCAAATCGGTACCACTGCCCAAAAACAACCTGTTCGAGTTTGCACAACCGCTACGCCACTGTCCGAACTGCTCTGCTATATTTTCTCTTTGTTGTATGTTATGAATTCACCTTAAGTGCGCCAGACCATATTCATTGCTTATTTCTTTTTTCGCAATAATGTCCTGTTTGTTGGCTGCAAGTTTCCGCAGCCCAGCCAGCATTTTCAGCTGAGCGCACGTGCATCACAACTTCCTTCTGCGTAAGTTCCTTTTTGTCTGCTGCAGTGCAAAACATTTCTACGTGAGTACGTGTAAGTTCCAGGCTTGACATTCCGCATGTCCCAGGCTTGTCCGCATGTCCCAGGCTTGACATTCGTAAACCTTATGTGTTATATCTCTTATACAGAACGATCTTTTTCATTGTATTTTGGTAAATCGCTATAATTGCATTAGAAATTGAACCAAGCAAATTTCCTACTGAATAAGAGCTTGAACAGCTCATTGTAGATTCAGGTCTCTGTTCACCGGTCAATTGAGAATAAAGGTCACACCTTTTTTCACCAAAGTAAGCCTCCAGAAAATTGGAACGCCTTTACAAAGCGGAGATTAGTTAGCCGTACCATGAGACTACTTACAGCTGCACAGTAAATTATAATTTCAAGAAACACTTTGATAGTTATAGGCTCATCACCACCAACATCGTCATAGTTTTTTTTGTCATGTGTAATTATTTTTCAAAGAATGTAGCGTGCCTGAACACAGTGGGCCTTCTGTTCTTTTTTTGGGGGGGTGGGGGGTGGGGGTGGGGTGGGCTTTTGTTTTTTTATATCTTTCCGAATATTGTCGCAGACATTGGCCTTCTCAAAAGGCAGCATTATGAAACTCCTAACAGGCTCTTTTTAATCACTTCTTTCGCGTTCCACTCTGTTTTTTTATACTCGTCATTACTGTGTTCATGCACGTTTGAATGAAGCATGTGATCAGCACATTGTCTTTTCTTATTCTTTATTTTTCTGGCTAGCTCGGTGATGGAGCTTGCAGCACTTATTTTTGGTTCTTTTCTACAATCATCTTACTAATAAACTTGAAGCACACACTTTCCGTGTTTCATTTCTTGTTTGACATGACATCCATTTATAAAAGACTGTAGTATTGGGCTTGTTAGAACGACTTGGTTATGAGTGCAAGTCAGAGCAAGAAACAAGAGGGCACTGAAAAGATGACACAGAGCGCCGAAATTCCAACAAATTATTTCTTTAGAAAGCCTTCGGCTTTATACAGTTAAACACTGTTGCACCAGCCGTGCGCAGAGTACAATGCCGCTACAAGATATAACGTTAACAAACCTAAACACATCATTTCTTTATCAGTGAGAGTGACAAAGGAGGTACTTGAACAGTCATCTTTTAAGAGAAAAATATTTTCTTCCTATATGATTTTGCGTGTGGTGCGATCTCTGCATTTTGCGACCATGCTACAATCTGAGTATCTTGATCTGTGTGGTGTTGTGGCGCTATCCTTGAGAAGGATGCGCACTGTTTGTCGTGTTGTTGTGTGCTTTACATGTAGATGTCATTGCAGACTGGCACACGTGATTGTCAGCAGCCAATTACGTGTGTAGGCGTCACTTCGTGGTGTGGTCACAGAACACCTAGTGTGGTCTGGTAGCAACGTTGTCTGGTAGGTGTTCTGTGGTGTGGTTTTAATTAACGGCTGCTGGTCAGCCGAGTCGTTGTTGGGCTTCCGTGGAGTTCGCTTGACTCGCTCGTGTCGGTGGGCCGATTGCCAGCGCGCGCCGAGTTCCGCGTCCAGTCGTCGGTCTCCTTGCCGTCGTTCGGACGCCGCCCGCCGACACAAGTCTACACCCGCACACACTGCACTGAGCAGAGAACCA